ATACAAAAATCTAAACTATTTAGATTATAAAAAGCTATGGCAATGTTAGTGCCCAGATTTCCTAAGGATAATACTGTATCGTGGCGCTACATACCCTCTTATAACTAGTAATTTTAAACCTGATACTGAATACCCACCAGTCAGAAAAACCAAGATGTCTCCAGCCATTTCATTCAAATGGATATCCATGGTCACTTTCACAATCTAAAGCATAAAACACAAGCATAATATGTTAGTGGAAATACAGCTCCCCTACCCCACCTCACCCTTGTTCCACAGAAAAATTAAATTTGGTTCTCAAAAGTCCTAGAACCTATAAGGGCTGCCATTAAAATAATAGAAAGCTACTCTGGCTGGGTGGCTCAATTGGTTGGAGCATCGTCCCATATACCAAAAGGTTTCAGGTTTGATCTTGGTCGGGGTCCTCATTAGCGGAGGCAGCCAATCGGTGTTTCTCTCTCACATTGATGTTTTTCTCTCTTCCTTCCTCTCTATCTAAAAACCAATAAAAACATATCCTTGGGTGAGGATTAAAAATAATAATAATAATAAGGAACAAAAAATTATTAAACTATTCAATCAACTAGAATCACAGATATAAAAAAGATGCCAAGTAATACCGCTTGAATATATGCAGTATTTTCTCTGTCTCGTGGGCCAATCAAATTGCAGAATTTTTCTCTGACTGGATAAAGCCTTCCAGGTATATCAAATATTGGACAATTTCCAAAGAATGCAGAGAGCTTGGCTAATTCCATAGTTGCTGACATCACCACGACCTTTAAATGCTCCTTTCTGTTGGGAGACTTCTCCTGAAATAGTTTCTTCAATAAACCAAATAAGATGTCCTGAAAGAAAAGTAAATTTCTAATAAGTCACAAGTATACATAACAACCAACTCTTTTTAAATATTTTGCTTTCCTAACCAATGAATCCTTATTTCAATAGATTAAAATGTAAGAGAAAGCAGCCCAGCCTGTGTGGTTCAGTGGCTGAGCATCAACTCATGCACCTAGAGGTTGCCAGTTAGATTCATGGTCAGGGCACATGCCCAGGATGTGGGCCTGATCCCCAGTGAGGGGCATGCAGGAGGCAGCCAATCGATGGTCTCTCTCATCAATGTTTCTATTTCTCTCTCCCTCTCTCTTCCTCCCTCTCTACAAAATTAATAAAGAAAAAAAATTTTTTAAACAAAAACAAAAAAAAATTATGAGGAGGCAATTCTCTGTACAGTAAAAAGTAAACTAATAGATAACCAATATATTAAAATACTCACTGTAGTCAGAGTTCTCTCATGGGCTTCATCTAAAATTATGACACTGAACTTGGTAAGATTTGGATCTCCCAGAATATGTTTCAGTAAACATCCATCAGTCATATATTTGATTGCTGTTTCCTAATGTTCAAAACACAAAGTATATCAACTCATACATATATACACATATAGTATCACAAAAATTCACCCGTTTTGCAAACTAAATTTTCCTCCAAAATGTACAAACATTAAGACTTAATGATTAAGTGATCAAATTAATCTAACTAAACAAAAGAGCACATAAAATAGTCTAATTACAAGGATGGTAAATTATGAAACTTATGATCTATACAGAGACAGAGATAAGGAACTAAGGTGCATATTCTGGGATAAAGCAATAAAAGTGACCAATTAAGGAGATACAATGAAGTCAGTGAAAAGTGGTAAATGAAATAAGCCAGATACAAAGGACAAAATATTGTATGATTCGACTTATATGGGACAAGCAAATGCATAGAGACAGAAAGGAAAACAGGAAGTCACCTGGGCTGGGGCGGGAGGAGGGAATGGGGAGTTAACTATTTAACAGATACAGAGTTTCTATTTGGATGATGAAAAGTTTTGAAAAAGATAGTGGTGATGGTGACAAATATTGTGAATGTATTTAATTCCAGAGAACTGTACATCTAAACATAGTTAAAATGGTAAATTTCATGTTATGTATTATTTTACAAAAAAGGTCTTTAAAAGAATACAAATGTAAGTTACTGTATACAAATGTAATTTAGCTGTAAGGATCCTTGCAGCTAAATATAATTAAAGAATCCTAAGAAAAATCAACATAACTTATAAAGCAATTGAAAAGAGAGAAAACTGGTTAAATATTACACATTACAGAGCTAAAGCATTAACATTGGGCAACAAAAATTAATTGTAATCTGAGGCTCTGTTTCATTAAAATATAAATAGAATTTCAAGGTTAAAATCCTTCATAATTTTCTTCACTCTTTCCATAACTTTACAGTATTTAAACAAATACCAACAAAACTTTTGTACCTTAGAGCTGCAATCATCAAAACGCACTTGGTATCCTACTTTGGATCCCAAAGTACATTTCATTTCTTCAGCAACCCTCTGAGCAACTGATATGGCAGCTACTTTTCGTGGCTGAGTCACACCGATCATACCATGTTGTGAAAACCCTATCAAAACCAGAGGTTAAAAAAACATAAAAATGTTAACAGTTGCTTCCTATTAGAGCTAAATTGTTTCTGGCCAATCAATACAAACTATTCGAGTATTTCTAAAACTCTGCAAATTAACAACATACTATATTACATCATGGAAATTTAAGAATTAAAAATAAGAATACATATTAATAATCATTCAAAATGTATATACTTTACTTAGGCTTGATTTTTTTTTAAATCCAATATAAAGATTTACTCTAAAGAGTAAGCCAAAAATTTTTAATCTCTAGGAATCCATAACATTCCACATACTTCCTAAAATAGATTTACCTGTCACAGAAGTTTAAATATATCACCTTACATAGATTCTAAAGGCATTTTTAAAAAATAATTTTAAATATCTTTGAAAGGGAGATGAATCTTACATTTGATAACAGTTTTACCTTATTAATGGAACGTAAAAGGGTGGTATGTCTTAACTGATGGTATCTTAGGTTTGATGCATAAGAATACATTAATATATAAGCTAATAAATTTGTTTTTTTATATGAATAATATCCAATATAATTTTGTTCTATATTAACCTTATGCTAGAAAGTTTTACCACAATAAAGTGAAGACACTTTCAGGGTAATTTGTTATCTGGCTTAGTGTTGGCATGTTATCTGGCTTAGTGTTAGCAGAGACAGGAAATAAATCCTTACCTGATAATGCTCTGGAGAAAGAACCAAGAAATATTGTCAGCAACAGATATCAATATATCTCTTCCCCCCAAAATAATTTCAATACCCAATGGTTAATAGTGTCCTGCAAGACAACCTTATTCTATGGCAGAGAATCAGTATCTACCTATAATTCTATTTGGGATTATGGTAATTAAAAACAGAAAACCTGTGCCCAGCAGGTGTGACTCAGTGGATTCAGCATCCACCCATTAACTGAGAGGTCCTGGTTTGATTCCCGGTCAAGGCACATGCCAGGGTTTCCGGTTTGATCCCCAGTAAGGGGCGTGCAGGAGGCAGCTGATCCATGTCTGTCTCTCTCTCTCTTTCCCTAAAAATCAATAAAAACTTTTTTTTTTTAATGGAAAACTTGCCACCTCAACTAATACCATCTGAAATAAAACCACAAAGAAGCAAGGAAGATGTAGGGAGGGTGTGCCAAAAGAAGAATTAGGACTGTAAAACAAATGTTGGGGATTTGTGCTACACAGAAGTCATATTAGCCTTTAAGAAGATATATTTAAAATACTCCCAATATTATCCGTGAATACCATTACCTGCTTCATATAGATATTTTGGAAGTTGAGTTGTTTTACCACTTCCTGTATTTCCAGTAACAATAAGGAATGAATTGTCCCTCACAGCCTGAATAAGTTTTTTTCTTTGTTTTTGAATAGGAAAAGTTGGAGTAGTTCCTCCCTCCTGTGATGTGCATCCTTTCTCTTCTGTAATGAGAGAAAAACAATTGTGCAATTAAAAGATGTGTAAAGATATCAATGACTCAATTTCCCAGGACTGAAAAGAGAAAGACAGTAAAATTTTAAGGTTGGAAAACATCAGCCAATGACTTATCAACCAAATCACCTAAGTCTAATTTGTAACTGAGGGTTTATAAGCCCAGAACAACTTTTTAGTGAAATCTAACAACTTGAGCATTCGCTAATGCGTGACTCAAAAGGACTCGACAAAGTAAGCCTAGAACAAGGCAATGTATATGCCAGCATACCTGTACAGAAGCACAAAACCCAGTTTTATTAAACAATTGACCAAAAACTGGAACACAGCAGAGAACTGTCAGCTGAATTAAAAGCCAACTGTGTTCGCTTCTGATTCATGGTTCAAGTTAGGTCCCTGCTCGGAGTGACATATCCCAGAAGGCCAAGTGGTGGGTAACCATGGAAACTGGCTCCTGGAAACTGGCTCGCTCTATACCGTACCCAAAGGCAGGCTGGCGCCCGACCGAGGGCGGGGGAGGGAGGATAGACGGGTAGAGAACAAAGGCTTTATGAGGCTGTTTAACAGCAGAGCGCGTCTCAGCATCGGGGTTCACTTTTTTGTACCCCAGAAAGGTTTTCGCTCAACTTGGGTCCGGGACCGCCCTCCCCACACCGAAGTGTTCGCTGGACGCAAAGTTCGCCTCCGGCTTGGAGGGCGAGGAGAACGCTGCGGCCTCCTTCCCGCTCTCCTCGGCTGCCCCAGGCAGACTTTTATGCCCGCCCCAGCGCCCCAGCCCCCCAGCCCCAACTCTCGCCGGCAGCGCGGCGTCCCGCGGACCGCACCTCTCTCAGCGCTGGAAACAGCCGAAGGCCGCTCTTCCTGGGGCTCTCTGGACCGCTCGCCCTCCTCTTGCCGCCGTGGCGCCCTGCCCGCGACGGCGGGAAACCGGGACATAGACGTGGCCCCGAGCGGAGGTGAGCACGTCCACCGATGTGGGGAGATGGGAGGGATGGGCGGGGAAAGGCGGAGACGCGCCCTGATGACGTGCCGGTGTTTACTTCCGCGCGTGCGACTGGAGGCGAGGGGAGGGCAGCTGTTCGATGACGTGCGCGCGGCCCGGGAAAGTTTTCACTCCCGCAACGCTGTCTGCCGCTGTGCCGCAGCCTTCCCCAGGGTCTGGAAGGGCTCCTCCCGTCCCTCCTCTTTGCGCAGAAGAGCCAGGCGACACTGCCTGGCTCAGGCACAGTGGTCACTGCACGCCTGCTCGGCGGCACGCACCCAGCGCGACGTGACAGTTGGCTGGCCGCTGGAACCGTCCTGGAGTGCGGGCTCCACGCGCCTGGCCCCTCCTGAGATAGCCTGGTCCAGGTGTCCGGCGGCAGAGCTGCCGGTTTGGTTGTGTCCAAAACCGAGGTCCCCTACGCTGATCATTTCCTTCAGAGGACCCAAGCAGTTTCATTTACTGACATGTTTATTTTCTTCCCCTTTTCCTCAGGTAGACAGAGGGCGGGAACTTGAGAAAATCATAGGACACTCAGAGCCCAGCAGCAAAGTCATTAATGCAAAGAGGACTATCAAGGTGTGTTGGATTTGCTGGATGGATGGATGAATGATTGGGTTACAGAGGAGTTAACTTTCAATAGGCGTGGATTCCTTGGAAACCGTAAGATCTGAAAAGCTAAAAATATACAACAATCAGCCATGGCCAGTGCTCAATGGTTAGAGCGTTGGTCCACAGACCGAGGGGGTCGCGGGTTTGATTCGGGTCAAGGGCAGGTACCTGGGTTGCAGGTTCTATCCCCAGCCTGGTTGGGGTAGTGCAGGAGGCAACCAATTGATGTCTCTCATACTAATATTTCTTTCCCTTTCTCTCTCTCACCCTCCCTCCCACTTTATCTGATGATAAATGGAAAAACATCCTCCCGTGAGGATTTTTTTAAAAAGTAGAAAAGAATAGCCAGAAAAAGAGACCGCTGCTACAGTGTACGTATGATGATTTAAAAGGACTTGATCACTGAGATTATTGGAGTACAATTAGAAGGTGTGTTTAGGAGAGTAGAAACACAAAGGTACTGATGAGGGAGAAAAAGCAAGTTCACATTTTGAGAAAGGACTCAGGACTAGAGAAGAGAACAAACTTTTAGTCAATGTAGTTATAAATATACATTTGTGGCAGATTTGTGTTTCAAAATATGAATCTAATTGTTTCTCTGTATTTCCTTCCCCTATTTCTATCTTACTTGTAAACCAAGGGCCTTTCTTCCCAGCCCTCACCAAAGCAGAAACAAAGATCCAGGGACATGATGACCTGAGGGCTAAATCCTCCTGCTTGTGCTTGAAGAACTGGTTGTTTACTAAGATGGATAAGACTGGCCAGAGAAAAGGGAGAAGGTAATGAGAAAGGAAGAAGTGATAGAAGGAACAAAGAGCCTCAATGTGGACAGGAGAAAGAGGATTTTTCATTAGAAAGTTCCAATGGAATGATTTTAAGAAGACCAGCCATCCTCAAGTATGGACCATTCATCCTTTAAAAATAAATTTTAAATAAACCACAAACAACCTATGACCCATTTGTTGTTTAGCAGTCCTGGATACATGTGGGCCTAGAAGGAGGGGAAGGGGAGATTGAACATTCAGGAGGGAACAGGAGCATGAAGAAGAACCTCACTTCCTAAACCAGGTAGAACTAGACAGAAACGTCTGGGAACTTTTCTGAATGAAGTGGTGGTGGGCCCCATGCCACTGTTATATATTCTATTGACATGCTATGGGATGTTAGCGATTTGGAAATCTGGAGAAAAATAGAGCTTAGAGAAGTATCCACCTTTCAGTCCAAAAGCAAAAGACATCATCATCACCACACTTTCTTCTCTTTCTTTTTTGTCTTAGGTTTCAAGTGTCCAGACATTAAGATTTAAATTAGTATCACAGGAATAGTCACCAAACAGTCATTTCACTCATCAAGAATATAATTTAATTGAGAGGTTAGTAAAGATTGAGACACTTCTAGCCATTGTCGATGAAAATTGATGCTTTAGACATGTGCATATGAACTTGAATAAGTGTGTGGGATTCTTATTACTAAAATAGGGCCTCTTTCAAATGAAGCTCAACGATTAACTTTTTATTCATTTAATCATTCATTCATGTATTTTTTTTTTCAGTATTAGAATGCACCCTTTTTAATAGCCATACAGAAGCATAAAAATATATGTAAGACACGATCACTACTTTCTATGGCATTACATGTATTCAAGGAGATAAAATATTTACAGGAGGAAAAATGAGCTCGAGTGATCAGAGAAGGCTTCTTGGAGTTAGTGGCATTTGAACTGAGCTTGGAAAGTTGGGAAGATTCCAAGAAATACCAGGGAAAGATTCTGGATAAAGGAAACCTCACAAAGGCACGAACAGAGTGATCAAGATGTTATTAATTATGGATTATTGAAAAATCTGCAAAATTAAAGTTCTATCTCTGGTGATGGTCTGTAAATCTTTCACTTGCCTGAAGGTGGCAAGCTGGGTTTATTTGAGAAACGTCAGCATCAACATTATTTGAAAGAAAAAGAAAAACAGTACTACTCCCCTGGAAAAAAAACAAACTTTCATTAACATTTAACTCATAAAATCAAAAAGTGAAAAAGATTAAAACTTACACAATCATTTAACTAATAGACATATTTAGTATTATCTATTTTAAGGCACATAGATTTTATGTTACAAATATTTTTCATGTTATTGTGGGTTTTTGTTTCTACTGATTTCTCAGTTATGACATAATTTTTTCATTACAGAAAAAGGAGCTTATACTTATAAGTATTATTAAAATCTATAATAAGCATTATTTATAAGTCTATTGGGGTGGTTAGGCTTATTGAGGCATGGTAAACTCACCCTTTTTAGTGTATAGTTGTGAGTTTTATGAATATTGATTAGTGCATATGGTTTGTAATCACCACTATAATAAAGATGTAAAACAGTTTTATAACTCTAACAAATTCCTTTATGCTGCTTTGTGGGCAATCCCTTCCTTCACCTCTACACCCTGACAACCACTGATTTGCTTTCTATCTGTACAGTTTGACCTCCTCCAAAATGTCATATAGTATGTACTCTTTTTTGGTCTGGCTTCCTTCATTCAGCATAGTTGCTTTGAGATTCATCTATATTTGAATATAGTTGTAGTATGTATAAACAATTTAATCCTTTTTATTACTGAATAGTATTTCATTATATGAATGTACCACAGTTTGTTTATCAATTCCTTAGCTGAAGGACATTTATGTTGTTTCCAGTTTTTGGTGATTATGCATAAAGTCACTATAAACATTCACACACAGGTTTTTAGGTGACCATACATTTTGGTTTCTCTAGAAGTGGAAGTACAGGGTTGAGTGATAAATGTATGTTCATAAGAAACTGCTGGGAGACTCCAAAATAGCAGCAGAGTGAATGGAGCCACACAGACCATCTCCCAGGACCAATTGGAATTACAACTAAAATAAAGACAAATCATTGGGGAAAAACAACAGAAAAGCAGCTGGAAAAGACCCATATAACCATGGTCAGAAAGAGGACACGAAATTGAGCCTGGCAGGAACTGCAGAGGCACAAGAGGGAGGGCTGGGAGCCCACAGACAGCAGCTGTTCTGGCTGTGAGCAGCTCCCTCTGGGTTAAAATCCCCCTGGCTCCACAGCACAGAGGGCCAGGACAGAGCACTAAATTAGCTACAGCCACTCACCTTGGGCTCCAGCAGAGGGAGGGTAGACTGGTTTGGAACTGTGTGGAGAGACTCGAGAGGTGGGAGAGCTGGGGCAGCAGTGGGAGTTTTGTTGCTGAATCACTCCCTCACCGGACAGTAGCTATCTTGCTGGAAGAGCCCCACGGAAGAGCAACAGCCCCTCCCTCAAGAATTTAATACCACCTACCCAAGCCAGGGAAATGCAAATTGAGGCTTATTAACAGCCAGCAAGCACCTGCCCCACCCTCTGGAAATCCTCTTACCCTGAACACCTGAGGGATTTTTTCATTCAGCAAAGGGCTACAACAGAAGGCTCATCAAGTACCTGAGACTAATAGCCTCCAGGCAAAAAGCTAGAGGATAACTGGACCTTTTCTGGGCTTGCAAATCTACCCAGGAAAGTAAGACTTGACAGTGGTGTTTAACATGGGTCCTGCCACACTCATTCAAACCCAGTAGAGGAAGCCACAACCAGCAGAACACCAACACCCACAGGGAAAATTCGGCAGGTTCCAAAATCGACTGAGACCACCAAAATGGTGAAACAAAGAAACAAATCCCAAATGAAAGAACAAGATCATTGGAGAGAAGATTAAATAAATTAAAGGGATTTGAGCAAGATATCAGAGGGTGAGTTAAGAGTAATAATCATGAGGAAGCTAAACAGCATGAATAAAGAAATAGAAGCATTGAAAACCAACCAATTGGAAATGAACGACATATCAGCAATAAAGAACACATTGGAAGGAATAACCAGCACAGTAGAGGAGGCTGAGGATTGGATCAGTGAATTAGAAGCCAGGGTAGAAAAAAATCATCCAATCAGAGAATCAAAAAGAAAAAAACAATTAAAAAACAGGAAGACAGCCTAAGAGAACTGTGGGGCAATATGAAACAACAACATCCACATCATAGGAGTTACAGAAGAAAAAGAAAATGAGCAAGGGAGAGAATATATTTGAAGAAATAGTGACAGCGAACTTCCCTAACTTGGTAAAGGAAAAAGGCATGCAAGTACAAGAAGCACAGAGAGTCCCAAGTAAGAAGAACCCAAACAGGCCCACACCAAGACACAAAATAATTAAAATGCCAAAAATTAAAGACAGAGAGAGAATCCTAAAGGCAGCAAGAGATAAGCAACATAAGGCTATCAGCTGACTTCTCAACAGAAATACTACAGGGAAGAAGGGAGTGGCATGAAGTAATCAAGGTCATGAAAAACAAGGATCTGAATCCAAGACTACTCTATCTGGCAAGGCTATCATTCAAAACAGAAGGTGAAATAAAGAACTTCCCAGACAAAAAAAAAAGGCTGAGGAAATATATTAGCACCAAACCAGCACTGCAAGAAATATTAAAAGGACTGCTGGCCCTGGCTGGTTTCGCTCAGCGGTTAGAGTGTCGGCCTGCAGTCCAGAAAGGCCCGGGTTCAGTTCCTGCTAAGGGCACGTACCTCGGTTGCAGTTTGTCCCCGGCCCTGGTTGGGTCGTGCAGTAGGCAGCCATTCATGTGTCCCTTTCATGTTGATGTTTTTCTCTCTCTCTCTCTCTTTCTCTCTCTCCCTCCCACTCTGTCTGAACAAAAAAATGAAAAATGTCCTCAGGTGAGGATAAAAAAAGAAAGAAAGAAAAAAAGGACTGCTGTAATCAATAGAAGAAATAGGAAGAACAATACAACCACAATAAACAAAAATGGCAATAAATAAGTACATAACAACTTTAGATGTAAATGGATTAAATGCCATGATCAAAAAACAGAGTAGCTGATTGGATAAGAAAGCATGACTCATATATGTGTTGTTTACAAGAGATCCACCTCACAACAAAAGACTCACTTAGGTTGAAAGTGAAGGAATGGAAAAAAAAATCTTCCAAGCAAACAGAAAGGAAAATAAAGCTGGGGTAGCAATACTAATACCTGATAAAATAGATTTCAAAATGAAGGCCATAACTAGAGACAAAGAAGAGGACTACATAATATTGAAAGGATCTATCCAACAGGAAGATATAACCTTGGTAAACATATATGCACCCAACACAGAAACGCCAAAATATATTTTAAAACTTCTAGAGGACTTCAAAGGAGAAATTGACAGCAATACAATCATAGCAGGGGACTTCAACACCCCCACTGACATCACTGGATAGATCCTCTAGACAAAAAATTAACAAGAATGCAGAGACTCTACATGATGCACTACATCAAATGGATTTAATAGATATCTACAGAGAATTATACCCCAAAACTACAGAATTCACATTCTTCTCAAGTGCACATGGGACATTCCCAAAGGTAGACCACATGTTAGGGCACAGGCTAAGTCTCTACAAGTTCAAGAAGATTGAAATCATATCAAGCATCTTCTCAGATCACAATGGCATGAAGCTAGAAATCAATCACAACAAAAGCATTTCAATACATGGAGGCTAAATAGCATGTTATTAAACAATGAATGGGTTACCGAGGAGATCAAGGAAGAAATCTAAAACTTCCTGGAAACCAATGAAAATGAACACACAATATAAAGTCTATGGGATGCAACGAAAGCAGTCCTGAGAGGGAAGTTCATAGCACTACAGACCTACCTCAGGAAACAAGAAAAATTTCTAATAGACTATCTCACTTCACGACTTAAAGAACTAGAAAGCAAACAAAAAGAAAAACCCAGAGCAAGTAGAAGGAAAGATCAGAGCTGAAATAAACGACATAGAGACTAGAAAAATAAATCAAAAGATCAATGAAACAAGAGCTGGTTCTTTGAAAAGATAAACAAGATTGACGGACCCTTAGCTAGACTCACCAAGAAACAAAGAGAGAGAACCCAAATACACAAAATCAGAAATGAAAGAGGAGAAGTAACAACTGCCACCACAGAAACACAAAGGATTGTTAACAAATACTATGAACAATTATATGCCAACAAATTGGACAAGCTAGGCAAAACGGACAAATTTCTAGAAACACATATTCTCCCAAAACTGAACTGGGAAGAGATAGAAAACTTGAACAGACCAATAACAACTATGGAAATTGAAGACGTAATCAAGAATCTCCCAGCAAACAAAAGCCTGGGCCCAAACAGCTTCATGGGGGAGTTTTACCGAATATTCTAAGAAGAACAACCGTTCTCGGTAGTCCCAGAGACATGGAAGTGGGGTACAGACTGACAATCCCCAGACGAGGGGGTGGGGGGGGAAGAGATAAACCACAGAACTTATATGCATG